TCTATCTATCTATCTATCTATCTATCTATCTATCTATCTATCTATCTCTATCTATCCTATCTATCTATCTATCATTATCTTTTCTTCCTTCCTCCTCTTCCTCCCTCCCTTTCCCCCCCTTTTTAGCACTTAAACTAGACCTATTTCTTTGTTAGCGTATTTTAAGATTGCGTTGCTATAAGCCATGCGTTCTTTCATTGCAACTTAACGTGTTTTCTTGGAGGATGTTCTGCTGAATATAATGGGAGTTTCTGATCTAAACTTTCTCAAAAAGTGGGGGCACATACATAATAAGCACTTGAGATAAAGGACAGCCTTGCCTATCACCTGGAACAACCACAGGCCCTAATGATAAAAGCTTGTATATTTAGCAACTTGCTGGTGTAGAAATGCAATGCATTCAGAGGATTTGAAATATGACGTAGTAGGAAGCGTGAGCCTGAAATAATATTCCAATATTGCCTTGCATCGGATTGTTGCAGTAGGATTATTAATGCACTATTCTGTAAAAGCTATTGGCACAATGAAACAACAAATAGCATTTTGATCAACCTAATGATCAAGCAAGCAAGAGGAGAAGAGGAAGGGAACTTTGTAACTGAAAGATCACAAATGCAGCTGCACTGAGAGAAATTCCTTCTTAATCTCTTTTCTGATGTTGTCAGATTGACTATCGCTATTCAAAATGTTAAATGGAATGAAATTACACTGACCCTAATTTTCCATGGTTGAATTCTTTTCTAATTTTCAACAATAAAATATATTTGCCTTGCAGCTTCATCTCTTTTGTATTTTTTTTTTATGATCTAGCAGTTGCCAGATGACGCCAGGCTTACAAAACCCAGAATTCCCAGCTATTGTGCCTTTTTACTACCAAGGGAAGAAAGGCTGAATAATCATAACTAGAATACAATTATTTAGATTTACGGGGAATAACAATTGACAATTATACTGCTAAGCATTGATCTCCAGATTGCAGTAAGTAAATAGAAGGTCCATAACTATAGGTAGTCCATAACTTACAACCACAATTGGGATCAGAATTTTGATCTCTGGTTTTTAAGTAAGTCTTCATATGATTGGACCAAATTTTTACTGTGGTCATTTAAGCAAATTACGGTCATTAAAAAAAATTGACTTTGCTTGTAGTAAATGCAAGCCAATTTGCCAAAAAGCCAAATCATGATGGTGGTTTGATGGTCATAACTTACAGGACATGGTTTTTTTAGAGCCATCTTCACTTTGAACTGAGGTTAAATGAATGATCGTAAGTTGAGAACTACTTGCATAGTTTACCCCATGTAGAAATATCACATTGAGGAAAGCTAGTGTAGCTGAACTAAATTTGAAGGGTTTTTTTTCATGGAATTTCCACGAAAACAGTCCCTGCCTCTAGGCAGGAGTCCCCAAACTTGGACTTGTGGAGTTCAGTTCCTAGAATTCCTCAGCCAGCATGGAGTCAGCATGGTTTTGAAGTCCACAGGTGGTAAAAGCCATAGTTGCCCATCCCTGGTATACTACAAATACACGTATGTCTCTATGTCTACATCAGAGGTCTCCAAACTTGGCAACTTTAAGACTTGTGGACTTCAACTCCCAGAATTCTTAAAAGTTGCCAAGTTTGAGGACCCCTGGTCTATATCCACATCTATACAGTATTTTTTTTATTGGAGACCCAATTGGTATAGTAATGGAAATCCTGGACTAAGAGTGGGAAACTCAAAAGTCAGTCACCAGAGCTCCTTGGGGGATTCTGGTGTAGAAAATGTTAGCAGGGAGCAGAGATGAGACTCTCATCTTCTCCATAACTTTAAAGTTACTGCACTGAAGCCAATCTGGGATCGCCCTTGCAAAATCGCTGAGAGAGATTGGGGGAACAGAAAGAAAAATCCTAGAGCGGGAGGCATCCGTGTCAGTGGCAAGGGTTAAAACCATAGAGAGACAGACTTTTGGAAGGATGAGGAGGTCGTCACCACCACCGCCACCAAGAGGCTCCAGTTCAATTCGGAGTAGTAGGTTGTAGCTATACTTCAGGTTCCCAATCGGTGTCCGGCAATGGCAATGCTAGCTGCGACGTTGGAGGAATCCTCTCGCCAAAGAGAATTCGAAGGAGAACCGGAAAAGAGGTTCGCCGTGCACGGCTGCCTTCCCGCTCCCCCTTCCCCTTTGCTGAGACCCTCGGCTTCTTCAGGGTTCCCGGTTTCTCCCTTGGAGGAAAGCAACAGGTTCTGGAGGGCATGTTGGGCTAAGTTGCCAGAGAAGAGGATTGCACGGGTTTCTGCAAGCTACGAGGGTGCAGTTAGTAACGCCTTTCGCAACCTTCGTGTCATCCCCGGCAATCATCTCCGTGCACGGACGCACGTAGAGGTCGAGGTCTTGCAGCGGGAGGCATTGGAAGTTGTTGTTTAGCCAACTTCTGAACGGAACCCGGTCAGTTTCTCTAACTGGCGAGTAAGATGGATGGCCTTGCTGTTTGGGATGGAGCGAAAGCTTTCTCTCTCTCTTCTCTATCTGTCGGCCTAGCCATCTATCATCTATCCATCCATCATCTACCATCTCTATCTACTTATCTATCCATGTATCTATCTCTATTTATCTCTATATCTATTATCTATATCTATTAGCTCTCTCTCTATTATATCTATCATCTAATCTACCTTCTCTTTCATCTCTCTCTCATCTCTCATCTAATCTATCATCTATCTATCTATCTGTCTATCTATCTAATTTATCATCTAATCTATCTTCTCTCTCTCATCTCATGTATCATCTATCTATCTATCTATCTATCTATCTATCTATCTATCTATCTATC